GGAGCCGGGCGTCTGGGGAAGGCAGTGGCACTCGAGGGGTTTGCACTTGTCCTAATTCAATCTCTGCCAAAGCAGACGAGCCTAAATTCAACGCGCCAGCCGGACTCCATTAGGTTACATCCCCTCCACCCTCACCTCAGCCTGCCTCGAGCAGGAGCCAGCCGGCCCAGCGGTGCCTCTGCATCCCGGCTGGTACGTCTTGTTTCATCCTGCCTTTTCCTGGGGCCAAACTAGAGACGCTGCTCACGGCTCAGCACCACGGAAGCAAACTGAGTTCTGCCTTGTTTCACAAGCAAGGAATCGTTCTTACCAGCAGAGCTAGCTGCAGCCACAGCGGGGCTGGGGGAGCAGGGAGGTCTGCAGGGGCTGCCCGCCTGGGCTCAAACCGCAGGGGAGCCGTGACCCCCCCAGCCCCTTCCTCCTGCGGGCTCCCCAGCACCAGGGTGGGTGGCCCAGCCCCAGTGGGACGCCTGGGGCTGGGGAAGGCTGAGAGATGCTCTGGGCCAGTCGGGAGAGGCAGAGGGTCCTGGGTGGGGGGAGGCAGAGGGGCACCCTCCCCCCAGTACCGCGCTGTGCTCAGGGCCACCTCGTCCTCACAGGCCACCTATGGCCACGGACACGGCCCCATCTCACCTGGGGGTGGCTTGTTGAGCGGAGGGAAGCCTCCGCTGTGGGCAGAGCAGCTCAGGTACCCGCAGCTTGCACGCGGGACGAAGGCCAGGTGCACACAGTTTATTAGAGCTCTGGTTAAGCAAAAGAGTCCCCCAGACAAAGGCAAGGAAAAGGAAAGAGGCCACAGTTTCACCTGGAGCAGTTTGGGGTCTTTCCCATGCCCGTGGCAGCTGGGTTGGTCCCAACGCACCGCAGGTCTGCTCAGGAGTCGCTGACCTTATGCCAAGGGGTGCAAGATGCAGCACCTGTCCATGGATTTGTACAACAGCCACCTGTCTCTGGGCGAGGACAGCTGGAACCAGCCCCGGCGCAGCAGGATGTGGGCAGGGACCCGTGGCTGTGGGATGGGGTGGGGTGGTGAGGCCACCGAAGATGGACATCAAAGCGTGGTGTGCAATGTGAAACCAGGTGGCTCCTCGGCAGCATTGCAGCCCCAGGCACTGGGCAGCCGGAGCCAAGCCCAAAGCCACCTTTTTCCCCAATTTCTCACATGCTGTTTCCTCCCCCCTGCCACGCACCCACCCCAGCAGCACACGCTCTGCACAGTCTCTTTCCTCCCTGGCTTTGTGTGATGTCTGGCCACAACCAACGGCAGCTCTGGGTCCCTCCTGGCTGGAGACTGCCAAGTGCCGGGGTCCCTGCAGAGTACATGGCTCTGGAGCATGGCAGGAGAGCTTGCCCAGGAGAAACAGCAGCAAAGCAGGGTCGCAGTCCCTTTGCCAGCCCCCGGACAAGGCTGCAGGGAGCTCCGGTGCTCCCTTCCTCCTCCTCCTCCTTCCCATCCTGTGGAGCATGCAACCAGCCAGCTGCAGGGCTGATGCTGCAGCCATCCCTGGGCTCTATGGTCCATCTTCACCTCGGCGCCCAGCTCACCCTGATCCTGGGGATGAGCTGAGCGCGTCTCAGCCACCTCAGGTGGTTTTCAGCTTGAGCACCTTGGAAAGCGGCTCCTTGGCGCAGGAGTAGAGGAGGTAGGAGCCCTCGGCAGCGTGGAATGCCTCCCAGTCTCTACAGCCAACAGTGGGGAGGTGGTGAGCCGCTACGAAGCCTTCATAGCCTTGCCACCTGCACGAGGAGGTCAGTTAGCTCTTGGGGCACAAGCTGGGCACCTGAAATGGGGCAGGCAAGCCAAGCCATGGGGCTGGCATCTCCCACCTTCCTGCTGTGGTTCAGGGTGGGAAGTCCCTCACTGGGGCTTCTCATTCCTGCCCAGAAACCCCTCCAGAAACAGGCAGCAGTCCTGTCTGTCCTCCCTGGGAAGATGCATCAGCATCCACAGAGGTTGCCCCTGTGCTGGGCTTCTGGCAAGCTTTTTCCTGCTGGGACCAGCCACCCAACCACCCAACCCTGCCCTCCTAACCAGCAGTACCTGTAGATAATACTGTTAACGGAGAAGGTGAAGCCATCAAAGGAGTTTGCTACCACCAGGAAAGAGTCGTCTCCCACCGAGAAGAACTCCCAGTCCAGGGCACTGGGGGATGAAGCAAGCAGAGGGGCAGGTGAGGTGGTCCCTCCATGCTGAGGAAGGGGCTGTGTGTCCGCGGGGCTGAACCCACCCTGCCCCAATCTCTGTCACCCTGATGATATGCCCAAAATCCTGCTCTTCCCAGGCTATACCTGAAATGGAAATCCACCCTTGTTCCCAAATCCAGGGCCTTCTCCTAGCTTCCACTGGGATGTGGTGCCAAGGACCCATCACTCATTGCCCTCCTCACCAGCCTCGGTCCCTGGCAGCGTGCAAGCCTGTATGAACCCTCCAGGAGACCTCTGGGTTGCTGAGGAGAAGGACGTGGACTGATGAGCACCCTGACTCTTTGCACAGGTACCTGTAGGTGAGGAGGTCCTGGAATTTGACAAACATCTGGGCAGTGATGTTCAGCTCGTAGATGGAGGAGTTGATGGCGTAGAAGTTAGAGGGTGCTGGCATCCCGCTGTCATAGCTGTGGCTGTTTTCAGCAGCCAGGAAGACTCTGTCCCCGATACGAAAGACCTCCCAGTCAGCAGGCACAAAAGTCTGTGGGGAAGGAAGCCACAGGAGAAGCTGGATGTGGACAAGCCTTCGCAAGCCAAGGATGCTGTGAGGGGTGTGGGGACCTGCTGGTGGTGCAGCGGGGAAGTTACCCACTCCTAAAACCCTCCGAGGAAAAAAATAAACCTCACTCGGTCAATCCCTTTGGAAGAATCAGTGGGGAAATATCACTGCCTTTCCAGAGGACTGAAGAGCATCTGTCTCTGTAATTGTTCCCTGGCTTGTCAAAACCCAGACTGGGGACCAAGGAGTAGAGTTTGATCAGTGGCCAAGCCTTACCAGGATAGACTGGAAGAGCTGGAAAGAGCCACTGAGCCAGATGTAGATGTGCGAGTAGATCTTAGTGGATGTGCCATTGAACGTGTTAGCCACAGCCAAGAAGGAATACGGCCCGATGGTGAAAAATTCCCAGTCGTAGGCTCCAGAGGTAGGGATCGTCTGGTTGGTTTCAAACAACCCTGTCCTGGGGTTCCACTTGTATATCACACTGTCTATGTTGTGGTTATTCCCTGGTGGAGACAGACAGACAGACACGCACCATGAGGAAAAGGAATACCTGGCCCACGTACGAAACAAGACCTAGAAACAGGTTCAGCTACGCAAGTATCTACCAGCAGGTTGCCAGGCTGTTTTCTAGTGACCAATCGCTCCCCAGGAAGTAGCCAAGAGACGCTAGAGCCTCCATCCCTACCTAGAGCCTCCATCCCCACTGAACACGCTGGCAGCTTGTTCCTGAGCACGCGGTGACAGCTTCATGGCAGAGGAGGGACGGGAGGGTGCTGTCTGCCCACGCGAGAAGCACACCGGAGGCACCGTGCCAGCATCCCGGGGCAGCCAAGCTCTGCCCAGTTGAGTCCCAGCTGGACTGTGACCGGGTCAGTCTCAGCCGAGTCCCTAAGCTACCAACATCACAGGCTGCCATCACCCTTCAGACACAAGTTCGCACATCTGGGAGGGGCCCACAGCTGGAACGGCACTGCACTCATGCTTTCCAGCACTCCTTTGCTAAGTCCCCATGCTCAGCTCCTGAGCCCTGGAGCTGGCCAGGGACCTCCATGTGCTGATCCCTCTGATGGTATGAGCTCCAGAGCCCACCAGCACCAAAGCACATGCTCCATCCAGCTCCTGGGCTCTGTCCAAGCATCTCAACCTCATGTCTGTGTGGGACCCAGGTGGCTTTAAAGCTAAAAATCTTTCTGCACCTCCAGCCTGGCACAACCTCTCCCCCCATACACGTTCTTCTAATAAAGAGCTGGCTTCATGGGGACAGGAGGGGGGGCACGCCCAGCCCCTTTCCACCCCACGCTCACTAAGCACTGCTGTGCTCAGCCTGGCCCTGCTGGTGTTTCTGGTGGCTGAGTAGCAGCAGGAACACGTGCTAACGGGTTTATGGGCAATCCTCATTCCTCATTGCAATGGAGGAGACTTTGGCAAGCAGGGCTGCAGGGAGAACAGGGTGTTTGGGCAATGGCCACATGGATAAGTGGCAGCTCCTCAGGGACTGACATTCCACCACCCCCTAAGGTGAACACACCCGGTTTGGCTTGGCCATGATGGTCCTAACCCCTGCATGATGTTCATGGCTGCCAAAGGGACCTTTCTGCTGAGACTGCCACGGGAGTAGGTCTCATCCAAACTGGCCGTGGTGGGGTCCAACAGGTGACAGGGGGAGTTTCTAGCCCAGCTCATGGGCAGCTGGTGCTCAAGCAACCTGCCACCAGCTTTGAGCCTGGTGCCAGAGTAGCTGATGCCTCAGGAACCAGCCCTGATGGCAGGGAAGGAGCCCAGCGGCCCAGCGCCTGAGCCCGGCTGGGAGCATCCTGGAGAGCCAGGGCTGTGGTAGCGACTCCTTCGTCCCTCGTGCTGAGGGGTGCATGCCCCAACCCAGAACAGCTAGTGGCCTGGGAGGGGAACAAGGGTGGATCACATCTGCAGGGTGCCCAGGGAGGGAGGGACGCCAGCAGGCTCTCACTCGGCTTCCCTCAGTTCCCGGCGCGCCCACAAGGCCAAGGCTCTGGCTTCTCAAAAGGCTCAGCTCCTCCAAACCCATGCAGCTGCCCTCACCACCCCACCATGTTATGTAGCATTGGGGAAACAAATGTAAAAAAGCAGAGAGATTCAGCAAAGACACCGTCCCCACTCCCGTCCTTGTCCCCCGCAGCCAGAAACCCGGAGGGGCACCAGTGTCAGCCACTTCCCCGAGTGCTTTTCTCTCCTAAAGCGAGAGGGTCTGCAAGGGTTTGGGCTTCCTGAGGGACACCGTGCTCCGAGCCATGTGCACCGACTCCCCGGCTTTGCCCCGCGCTCCGGCAGAGGATGCAGAGGGAGCAGAGAGCTGCAGCGTTGACATGGCAACGGGAGGATGCTCTCGAGCAGGGTGTCTGCGGCGGGGTGCCGTGGTCCCTGGCGTCACCCCAGGGCCACCTGCCCCAGCTGAGCCGGGCCGGTAGGGGATATAAGGGCTGGGTACCTTCTCTGTGGTTGACCACTGCGAGGAAAGCCTCTCCCTCAATGACAAATGCCTCCCAGTCCCTAGCGCTGTGCGTGGTGATCCTCTGGTACGTGATGAATTTCTCTTTCCTGCGGCTCCACTTGTATATTACAGAGAACTCCTGACCCCTGTCATTCTGCTCAAAATTAGCCACTGCTAGGAAGATCTGAAAAATAACAAGCCAGGACATCTTGGTTTTCTCCTCAAAGGGGCGCGGACAAGCGCGGGCAGGGTGAAGATGGGATGGGTGGGGGTGGGTGCACAGGGGATGTGGGGCCAGGGACCGAGGTGGTCGGCGTAGGGCAAGATGGCCCTGGCTGGCAGGGGTCCCCAAGCATCCCCCAAGCAGCACAGTGTGCCCAAAGAGGGGGACAGGGACCCGGTGGCCCGTGTGGGTCTTTGTGCATGGCGGCAGCAGTGCCCACTGCCGAGCTACCAAACCTTCCCCGCAAGGAAAGGCTGATCAGAAGAAAAACTGCAGATATGATAATGGTAATAATGATGGTAACAATTCTCTGAGACCAAACAGTTTCCAGACCAAGAAAACCCCCCTGTGAGCATTGGGGACAAGTGTGCAGCAGCAGAAATGACCTTGTGCAAGGCGGGGAGCGATCTCAGCGCATGGGTGGCGTGCTGGCTCTGCCACTCCGGCGTGTTCCGTATGGAATGGCAGAGGTTATGCCCCAGTTCGGGCCACAAAGAAGCACAGACACACAGCCCACAAGCAGAAAAGTCAGTGTGGGGGGGGTTCTCCTGCCTCCTGCCCAGTGCAGGACCCTGCAGCACCAGCCAAGGCTCAGCCGCTCCCAAGGATAAGACACCTTCCACCCTCAGCAGAGGCCTGTCCTGGGTCCACACGTTGCTCCAGGGAAGGTACATCCCCAGCGCTGGGCAGCTCTCCCTTAGAGACCCAGGCTGGGGAGTCCCTTAGGGGCATCTCCAGAAACACAGCTTCAGAGGGAGGAGTAAGGCCAACCCCGCAACTCAGGAGCCTGCAGTCCCTTGCTGTCCATTGACAGGAGCCACTAGGAGACCCTGACACTGTCCTCTGGGGCTCTTCACCCTGTCCCAGCAGAGCATCACCAAGTCCTGGTGCAGTAACAACCTGCTGACACCTACAGAGGTGCATCCCACCTGCAACATGTGCGAGGAACCTGGGCTAACTGGAGAGAGCTGTACCACTGCCAGTGCAACACCTACCTGGTCAGCATCTCCATGCAGAAACGTGCCAAGCATGGGCAGCTGCACGCAGGGTGCCTGCCTCTGTCCCCAGCCATTCCAGAGCACCAAGGCTAGCCCTAACTAGAAAATGTGCCCCAAGCTGTGCAAGAAAGGCCATCCTGCCTAGTAAGTCTAAGTTTTTCCCAGTGAAGACCCTGAAGGCAAACCCAGAGCACATGAGCCTTGGTGAGCACCAACACAAGTGCTTCACTTTGCAGAACCTACCAGGCGTTGGGACCCCCCCAGCCTGGTGGTATTCTCTGCCCCCACAGCCATCGCTGCAAGGGGGTATTGTGGGTCCAGACTAACACTGGGGAGTCTCAAGGTAGTTCCCATCAGCAGATAAACCCAGCTGAGGATGTTTCTGTCTCCCACCCATGAGGGTTCAGCCAGAGCTTTGCAGGGCTGGGGATGGCAGGCACATTCCTAGCCCAAAGCAAGCTTTGCAACACAGCTGCATTTTCAGGGCTTGACCAGGTTTTCTGCAGGACCCAGCCATCAGGCAGGTAATGGGGATGTGGCCAACTTGTATCCAAGCAGCAGGGCTGTCAGTGCCACCAAGCCTGGAGGCAGGACTTCTGCCCACCCCTCTGTACTCTGGAGCCCGTGGCTCACGATGGGGAGCCCTGCAGCCACCCTGTGCGGCATCTGGTGACAAAGCCAGAACAGGTCATCTCAGAGGGGGAACGATCCCAACTACCCTAGGAGCTCTGCACAGAGCTGGCTGGCAGCAGATGTTTGTTTGGTTTGCCTGGGGCTCCTTGCAAAGTGGTAAGTAGCTCCCCAGGGAGAGGAACTCTCCAGAAGTCCCATGGCAGGTTGCCCAGGGGAGGAGAGATGGCTCCAAAGTCCTGGAATGACTTAAAATCAAGAGGGCTTAAAGCTACAGAAGGTTGGACTCAGTGGGTCTCGGGAGGGAGCTACAGGCTCCGACGGTGCTCTGAGACCACAGGCAGATCTCTGAGACCAGAGCAGACCTTACGCATGGTAGGACGCCCACCACAGTCGGAGCTCCAGGAGGGCTTTGTGCTCCCATGTCAGGAGCCGTGTGTCCCCAAGAGCAGTGCCACAGCCGCTGCCTGGGGTGACCTCTGCCGTGCTTCATGGTGCCGGATGGGGACCGCAGCAAAACCCGCTCCCCGGGGTGGTCAGCTCTGCGCTGGCGTGGAGGCTGCGCTGCGAGCACACCCGGGGCAGGCTGGGCTGCAGCTCTGCACTCTGCACGGAGGGCATTCTGATACTGGCACTCTCTACATCTGAGACAGGAACAAGCAGGGCCTGCCAGAAACGAACCCCAGCACATGAGGGGATCCAGCTCTGGCAGCTGGCTTTGGAGGCTGACCTCGCAGACACCCTGGAGATCTCCGGGGAAGAGATCTGAGCACTCCAGACCTATGCTGCCAGCATCCGTTGCTGAAAATGTCCTGGGTGGATGTAGTTGTGTCTCGGCAAAAATAGTAAAACCCAGAGGGCAGCCCGCAGATCAGCTGGCAGTCCCTAGGACAGACCCTTACCAGCTGAGTATGTGTATCAGCGTGACACCACCAAAGACAGAAGAGAGAAAGATTCACCCCCCTAAAGCATGCCTGAGACCCAGGGCTTCAGAGAAGAAGCCAGTGTTGGGCAACTGCAGTTTAATATACTGAAATATGAAGGCACTGAAACAACCTTCCAGGCAGACTTACCTTCTTTCCTATGGTGAAATACTTCCAGGACTGAGCTTGGTAGGTGGGGATGTTCTGGTAGGGCACAAACTTCCCATCGGTCCACTTATAGATGGCCGATCCCGGGGGGGTGTACCGGTTGGCAGTGGCTGCGAAGAGTCCCACCTTTGGGATGGTGAAGATCTCAATGCCCATCGTCTCAGAGTTGGTCACCAGGTTCTGGTACTCCTCCACATAGTCCAGCCTTTGTTTGACTAGGAGAACACACAAAAAAAGAGGGGTGAGGTTAAAACCAGACCTGCCTGGAGAGGTGCCCCACATCGCACAGCAGAGTTGGTTCATCGGTGCCTGCTGCTGGATTGAGCTTTATGAGGGGAAAATGAAGGTCCTGGTGTCGCTGGTGGTGAAGGGCTAAAACCAGAGACAGTGGTAAAAGGCCTGACTCCATCTCGTTGGGCAGCCTGTCCAGCCCCATCCACTCCTGCCTGTTCTCCGGCGGAAGGCAGGGCTGCAAAATGCCCTGCCAGGCATTCTCCTATGCCACGGATTTTGATTGCTGCTTAAGAAGTGGGTTGACATATTTATCCTAAAAAGAACAAGGAGGAGAAGAGGGGACTACAGTGAAAGGGTGTGGGCTGCTGAGACCAGCTGGGTTTACCCCTACCCACCTGCAGCAGCCCTGCACCAGATGTTTTCTCTGGCTGGAGTCAGTATAAGTTCTGGAAGAAGTTAGAGAAGACTTAGACAGAATTAATGCCAGAAATTAGAACAGAAATGCTAAGAGTGGTCCCAACAGCAAATGGGTGGGCACTGGAAGAGACAAATGGCAGCACAAGGGCTACAAGAAGGGCCAGTGTTGGTGGTACCAACAGACACAGATCAGCAAGATCCCAGTACAAGGTCTCCTTGGCAAAACAAGGACATGGTGCCAATCCTAGTGACTTCCAGAGGTGCGGAAGGATGGGGAGTCCAGCTACTGCCAGCTCCTGTGGGGAGCAAACAGCTCATCCAAACCCACCATGGGGGCACCAGCGTAAGCAAAGCCCTGGGAGAAGGGGGAAGGATGGTTCAGTTGTGGGCATGTCCCGTCCTCCATGTCCTCACCAGGGATCTTGGGCAGACTGCCTGGAGCAAGTGGGAGAGTGCCAGTGGGCGAAATTCATTTCATAATCGAATAACGTCCATCCCTCTAGGCTCTGGCTGCTTTGCCACCCTGTTGCTCCAATGTTGCCCCACTATTTTCTGCACAAAGGCCACCAGAGCTGGGACAACATGGGCACCTGCCTCCGCCACCCTGCCATTGCTCCTTCAGGCAGCTGATGCGTCTTTCTGCTCCTTCTTGTCCACCCCACAAGCGCTTCGGCACCGGGAGCACCTGTGTGGTTGGGACCCTGCAGCAGGGAGCACCCCAGCACCCCGAGCATGGCTCTCCGTGGGGTGAGCTGTCCCACTCGGACAGACCGGGAACTCGTTCCCAACCGGAGAAGCCCCAGGAGGGATGGACAACATGGATAAGGTGGATGGACAACACGGGCACTGTATGAGTGAGCGGGAATCCAGCACTGCACTGGAAGTGTCAATGTGGTCACCGAGAGCAAAGCAAAGCCCAGCCAAGCAGGGCAGAGGCAGAGGGACACCACAGCTCTCTCATTCTGCTGTTGCCTGACTTGGTTCCCACCCCAAAGTGCTGTCAAGGGCAAATCGCCGCTCCTCCTCTGCTGCAAGAGCCTCCCTCCATCCCCGAGAGCGCATTGCACACCAGTACCTTCCAGCACGGAAATCCAGGCGCTGCCGTTGCAGAGGTACAGCCCTCGCCGGGAGGCGTTGAACCAGAACTGCGCCTTCTCCTGCTTGGTGCAGGGTGGACGGGACCCCAGGGTCACCTTCGTGTCGGTCTCTGGGCACCAAGAGGAGCAAGGCAGATGCCTCTTAGCACACGTGACGGAGGAGCAGCGAGGCTCGTCTCCGTGCACACAGGCAGGATTGGGTGTCCTGCTCCCATCCTGATGACGGGCACTGGGGAACGGGGGAAATGGCATCCTGGCACTGAGCCGGGAAGTCACCCTGGGGCTTGGCACCCATGGGGCGACTGACACAAGCCCAGTGCTGCCAAGGGACCTGGGCAGGGGTACCCTGGCTCTCCAGGGGGGTTTCAGACAGGCATCCCACCCCACACATGCGCTGAGAAGCAGAGGGTGCTGGGGGCACCCTCTTCCCCTCCGCTCCTGCTCCATGCCCAGCAAAAAGGAAAAAAGCCTTCCTCAACAGCAGCGGAGGGCGGCCAACCGAGCCCGTGCCGCCGCGAGTTACTGACCGTAGGGGTATTTTAGCACCTCGTTGCTCGCTGGCTTTGCAGGGACATCCTGGAGGACAGTGGGGACAGAGAGTGTCGCGACTTTGAAGTTCATGGCGGTGCATATCCGAGGGGTGGCATCGGCTCCTGGCAGCAGGACAAGCTGTCTCAGCAAGCCCTGGGAAAGTGGGAGCAGCAGGATGGAGGGCAAGTCCAGCAAGACCAAGAAATGGAAACTGCAGGTGATTCGTGCCCTTGGATTTCCCTCCCGACTCTTGCTCGTTGCCCTCCCTCCTGGGCTGTAGAAGCCCACACAGGATTCACGCACATTTATCAGATCCTCATGACATGCCCAGCCTGCCAAAATCTCCATCCCGGGCAATTCGACAGCTGGTGCGAGGGGAGCGTTGGCAAGTGGCTCGTTCACTGTGGACGGCTTTCACCGCCTCCGCTTTTCACTGCTGGTCAGGTTCAGGCCCTGCCTAACATTTATATCAACGAGATTGTGCCATCGACTGTCCCGGCACTCACTGCTGGCAGTGTCCTCTTAAATTAAAACAGATTTGTCCCACCAAGTGCCAGTCGCCAGCTCTGCCCCTTGCACACCCACAGCCGGACAGGGACTGAGCCCAGCACCGGGACCCCCAGCCACCTCCACCGTCCACGCTGTGGCGCAAGCCCTGCCAGTGGGGCACCTACCGTGAACACGCCTTTCCTTCTCCTCCTGTTGCCCAGGTAGAAGCTGGCTCTCTTCACTGACAGAGAGGCTGGAAATGGTGTCTCCACCACCCTGCGGATGGGCAGAGAAGAAGCAGGGGACAATTTCATGGCATCTGCTGGTGGCTGGAGGAGATGCTGGTGGAGGAACATCACTCTACCAGCCCTCCCAGGCAGCCCACTGCCACCCCCAACCTACACGTCCTTGGGGACGCTGCAGTCCACCGTCAGGGAGAAGGACTGGCCGGAGACGGCCAGGACGAGCGTGTGCCACTGGCTGGGGGGGGGGGGGGCGGGGGGGGG